GAAGAAGCTCGATAAAATGCAGGTGGATACGCCGAGGAGGCTAATCGTGGTTTCATTTCCCCACGATCGTGTTTTCTATCACGTTTCATAGGTTTACGCCCGCATGAAATTAAAATTCGATTTTTGTTCAGCGCAGCCACTAAGACCAATAAACGGTGTGATAATAATGTGTGATCTTTTATTCAATTCCGCAAAGGAAACGCGACAGTCATGTCAAATAAGGATGAAGCTATTGGTATTGAGGTGAATAAAATTCACCATTAATTCGTAAGTAGTTCTCCTTGCTATTGGGTTTTATTTAATATGGAAAATTTTCTAGAGGTGGTTGTTGTTTGTAGTTTCTTCGCATGGTGTTCTTGGTTCACACCACATGCGATGGTGTTTCGCGACTTTGTCGTTATTAATAGTGATTTTGCATGGTTTTGGTTTTCACCACATGCGATTACGTTTTTTGATGTTATTGCTCTTTGCTGTAACTTGGCATGGTGTTTCTGATGTTGGATCTCACAACACATAATTATGTTTCAAGGATTGTCGATGAACCTTGCTGTGACTTCGCAAGGTGTTCCTGTTATCAGACTTCGACATATATGGTTGTATTTTTTGGAGTTGGGTTTAATTTCGTTTACAGTCACCTCGCAAGATGTTTTTGTCCTTGAATTTTAGACAAATTCAAAGTTTCAGCTTGGATCAAGTCGGATCCTCGAACGTTGAAGCCAATCGTGGCTCACAGGTTAGCTGAGATTGAAATTTAGATTTTTAATTTCTCACAAATTAACCGATTCGAAAAGGTTAATTCTGTGTTCTAAAGATATTTCGACCAAGTCGGTTAAAGGATCCGACAACGTTTTGGAAATAGTTTTTTTATAGGATAGGTTGACAAACGAGCACACATTCCACCTGATGGTAAGTAGTTGCTGCGGCCCATAGACATCTACATCTATCTTCCATTACAAATCAAAATGCAGATGCGTTGTCACCCGTGAGGACTGAGATGGAATGCCTCGTTTCCAGTAATATAAGAGTCTCCGGTTCTCTACACTCACCATACGAAATACAGCAGCATTAAGCTATATTTCACGCTGGTATTCTGTGAGAGCGTGGTCCTTCCCCGGTCAAGCCGACCCATTAGTGCTACAACTATACTACTAATATAATTGCAGCATGGCTCTACCACTTAAAAAAAGCTCTTTTAAGGAAGGCTGAAATTCTTATATAGAAGTTCGTTTAGGACAAATGTTTTCATTCGGAAATATGCGGTTTAAAGACGGGAAAAAACGTTGAAAAGAGTTCACGTTTAAGCAAATTGGCTTTGGAAATAGGAGAAGATAACCTCCTTCGATTGAATGGTCGTTTACCATTCAAGTCTAATTAATCGAAAGAAAATAAAAAACCCGTCATTTTGGACGATAAGCACGACATAGTGAAGATGATGATCAAAGGAGCTCATAATCATTTTGTTTTTGCTAATCATCAAACGGTGATGGATGAGGTGAACCAAAAGTTTTATATTCTAAATTTACATAATACGGTTCGTAATGTTATACTTAACTGTCAATGGTGTAAGACCTATATATCTAGGCCACACACTGTGCCGCAAGGCAGTCTTCCTTTAGAAAGAATAGCTTATCGTGAGCCACCTTTCACATGTTCAACTGTAGATTATTTCGGCCCCGTGAATGTATCCGTGGGAAGGAGACATGAGAAACGGTGGGGAATTCTATTAACTTGTTTGACTACCAGAGCAGTCTAGTAAGTGGCTATCTGGAATTAGTAGCGTTATTGACACCATCGTCAATGATAATGACGTTGAGGCGATTTATCGCCAGAAGAAGAAAACCTTTCGTCATTTACAGCGATAACGGAACGAATCGTTGTTCACATCTTGCAAACTTTTCTTGTTCGCATCTTGAATTTTGCATGAAATGTTATGATAGCATGAAAAATGAATGTTTTAAGAAATATATTAATTGGAAGTAGCTATCTCTAGACAGTTCCTGAATCACAGATCGGCACTAATAATTGTAGTAGCCAGTTGCCTCTGATTTCGGATTTTATCATCCACTGTAATAAATCCACAAAATCGAAAAAGCACTTATAATAGGTATGTGCTAAGATCCGTAAACCTTGCTTTTTAATCCTTATTCTAATAATAAAAATAAATCATCTAGTCTGTTATTATTATTTTTTGTTTTTCATATTGTCTTCTTTTCTGTATACTTCTTCATATTTTGCTTTTTTAATTTTATTTCCTTTAGTTATTGTCTTCTTGTAATTTTTCCCTATTTGTAATTTCATTTCCTTCATTATTTGTTCACTAATTTTTAACTCCCTTAGTTTCCTACCTTTCAGTGAATGTTTTTGTTACATTTTTACTTCTTTTAGTTTCTTTATTATCGCCTGGTTTAAACAAATCAAGTTTTACATTCTCTCCTTTCCTTCAGCTCCCAGCTTTCTTAATAAGAGTTTCCATAAAAACTTTACCTTCTGTCAGCATATATTTGAACATGCTTCAAATATCGTTAATTTTATTTTTGGTCAATGTTTTATTTGCTTCCTTTAAGGTAATTTCACTCAAAACATTGATTTGATTTTTTCTTAATATTTTTGTTATTTCTGTTGATCCCAAAAATTAAGTTTGATATTTTATAATATACCACTCTTGTTTAGAATAAGTTAATGACTTAACTCGTTTGTAAGGTATTTGATAAAAACCAAATTTTATAGCTTCTAAATGAAACGACAAGAAATCCGCTTCCTCCATTTGCATGAAAAATAGTTTAAGAGTATTGTTGCGCGCCTAAGTTGACGTCATGTACCCGGCACTAGCGCCATCTAGTGTCGGGGACGAGAGCGAGGGGAGCTTTCCAGAAAATGACATCACTAATCTTTCAACCGACAGCGCCATCTAGTATCGAAACGAAGAACTAAGCTTCTAGAAGCCCGACACTCGAACTTTCGACGCCTAGTCGATTGGCGCGCGTATTTACTTGTATATTCTGGATATTACGTTGATAATATGTATTTAAAGGCGCTGCAAGATGCGATCGGGGAAGTATTGAATTTGGCGAGACAAGCGAAGCTTCGGAGCGAAATAAAGTGAATCAGTGTGATTAATTATTAGTATTCTAAGTTTTAATTAGTGTAAAGTGAATTAAAGAGTTAATTTTGGTAATTCTATCGGCAATTTTTATTGTCACGAACCTCAAGCTCGTAACAGTATTTTATATAATTTTTATGCACGTATTAGATATTAAGCTGTAGACTGAATCTACTTTTTAAACATATTCATGGGCGGGTTCGGAAAATTTTTGGGTAAAACTTGTTTTATATTTGGAATTGTCAGACTGTGAAATTTTAATAATAGCAGTACTTATATGTGAAATTCTGTTTTGCGGAACGCACAAATCTGACTATAGTTTTAGTTTTGTTATAGTATATGGTAAAGAACTTACTATTTCCTTTAAAACTTTAACCAAGGCACTGGCTAAATCAACGCCACTTCTTCCATTTCTAGTCTCGTCCCACAAAGCGTTTACGGCACTTTTTTAATATCAAAGTGCGCTGTTAAATTATATACGGTCAGTTTGTTTCTATAGAAAAAGCATGATACATTTGCTTTGGGCAGAGAAAAAATGTTCTCCAAATCAAAAGTTACAACGACTGCGTCGTTGCTTTTACTGGATTTCAGTTTTCAGTCTTTATCTCGTTCCTCGTTACCCTCTTTTTTTCTTTGTAAGAGCTCCTCACATTTGTTTATAAGATTGCTGCTGGGATTTTTTTAGCTTTGAACTCGGAACGAAAATTGCAAACATCCTTTTTTGGGCGATGAAACCCAAGATTAAATCGTTCGCAGAATATTTCTCGGTGTATGTTTTCTTTAACAGGATCTTTATGTTTTTCCACGTATAATAAGTACAGTGCCCGGATGATGTTTTTTTTTTAAATTACATTTAGATACAAATTACATACTGATGAAACATGAATAATATTTTTTTATGTTATTGACATAGTAGAAAATACTGAACTGGTTAATTGAATAAAAAATCATGAGTGCAATTAGTTTAATTAAATTTTTCGTATTTTTAAAAAATACTAAAAAAGGAGCTCGAAGTAATAGATTTTCTCACAAAAGAAGGGAACTTGAAAAAAAAAGGAAAAAGTCGGACCGAAGTCAGGACGCGAACCAAGGCATTACGATTTCGCGACCGCTGGATATCCACTTGAGGTATAACGATCATTTACACAGTGTCGAAATTAACCTTCTTATATTGTTGCAGTTTTTCATTGCCTGTTAACACAGAGAAAAAGACATTTTCTAAAAATAAATCCTAGCTAGATCGATTTATTGCCCCCGAAACGCCCTGGACACTAAATTTTATGAAAATCGTTGGAGCCGTTTCCGAGATTCCGATTATATATTATAAGAATTGCTCGTTTAAAGGTATAGGATTTTTGAGACACTCAACCTCGGTTGTAAATATTGGCGCGTACTAGACGATCAACAGTAGTGTGAATCTACTGTTTGGAACGATTTAATGTGATAAATCACTTCGCTTACTTTTTCAAGCGGTTTTTCTTTTTTGATGTATTTTCCTTTTCTCGGCGTAGGACGTAACAGTGAGTCACTATTTCCATTTATAAATGAAAAAAGTGAATCCGGCAAGCAGAAATACTCAACATAGAACAAAAAAATATTCTGCAGACTTTAACAATTTCGTTTTCCCTACGAAAATAATAGTTAAATGTATATCTTACTCCTTTCGTTTTTAGTTCGCGTTCTATTTTTTTATATGTGTAGTGTATTTTCCGTAAAATTTGTATTTTTGGGCATCAGTTATGCTGTAAAATTCAGATTTTATTTTTTCTCTTAGGGCTAAAGGAAAGTTTGTAGAACACATAATCTTATAAGTACTTTCACACTCGGGCACATCAATTCTAGCCTGCATGCACTTTCCTTTTTCCCTGTGTACTCTTCTCCTCTTTCTCTTTTTATTTTATTAACATTTCTTTTCCAGGTTTCCGGCTGTCGTTTTCTCTTTCGACTTGGCTTTTTTTTCTAAAAACTGTTGTTCAACTGGATCTAAAAATGAATTTTCATTGATATCAGGACATTCTTTTAAAATGGGAAGTTCACCAGATGGTATTAAAATTTCATCAACATATTTGGGCATATTTAAAGGAAAGAGTAAAAAATCATTTTCATTTGAAGATATGGGTATTTTCTTGGTCTCTCTTTGACACTCAAAAAGTTTCTTGTTTATCTTTACAATATTTTTGTTTTGAGTGTCTTTAATGTTGTCCTTTTCAGAAATATTATCTTCTTCAAAAAGTTTTTTCTTGACTTTTTCAACCCTTTTAAGTACATAAAATAAAAAGTTGTTAATTATTATATCACACGCATCCTGCTTTGCAGAAGCAGAAAGTGTAAAAAACACAAATGAAATCAGTTTGAAGAAAGTTGAAACAATAAAAAATGTGTTGCCCATCTTGGACTTCAAGGTGTTACTCAACATGTCTCATGTGCTTGCAATAACGATGTCGGTAGTGTGGCCCCACCACTACCGCTGGCTATTTTGCCCTTCAAACGGGAACACAGTGATATTTTTGTTGTTTTATAACAAAACGTTGTAAGTCTTTCTTTACCAACAGGATTGAAAAAGTCTTAACTAAACTGCATTTAAAGTTCATTTTCGGAAAATTTTGTCGATAGAACAAATAAGCATTGAGACGAATTCCATAGCATTTGATATCAATTGAGGGTTTAATAGCGTGGTTCATTACTTCGTAGAGAAGAGCTCTTAGTTAAGTAGTAGGTGCCCGGATCAAAAGATCTGCGAGAAAAAGGTGCACTTGGTGCGGTCAGTCGGTGTATGTGTGACCGTTTTCTTAACATGCCTATTATGTACATACTTTTAACATATATTTAAAAAAATAAAGAGTACATATGTATCCTCAGATACCTGGTGCACTTTAATGTCTGCTGCGTATTTAGCTAGTCTCTGTTATTATCATTATATTTTAAAATTCATACAGCTAAAATGATAATAAGTTTATTGTTACTTTATATTTTTCAGGGATAGATGATAGAGAGAGTAGCCTCGTAAATATGGCCATCTTATTTAACTGATTCCTACAAGTTTCCTTACTTAAATTATTAAGTTTACATTCATATTTAATATATTTAATTGTTAATTATTAAATGTTTGTAATTATTAAAAGTAATACTTAAAATATGAAAAATAGAGCAGGCATTATGTACGCCATGTCCCTTTTTTTATTTCACCTGCAAAACATTTTATAAAATATAAATATGTGATTACTTAATTAGGTACCTGTTTATATTTTATTAAATTATGTTGATAAAGAAATTCTAAGGAAACTGCCCATGGCAGTAAATATTGTCCAAAATACAATTTAACTTGGGAAAAATTGTTTGAATTGATTCGGTAGACTCACCTCTTCAGAGATTATTGGAATTTAGTACTGAATGATAGTAATGATTATGAATAAGAATCTGGCATGTACTTACTACGATAATATTACCATCGACCGAAAAACGGATTATCACTATGCTTTTGAGAGTTTCACAAATGAAACGTTTCTTACCTTGCTAAAAATTATGTGATGATCTATTCTATAAGACATCGACGTTTCTTACCTTGTAAAATGTACGAGAATTATACATGAATTTTTTTACAGTTATATGAATACATTTACAAAATAAAAGTAAAACATTCAGAATATTATTGACAGAGAGTTGAGTCTAGTTTAATCTACATTGATTAAAAAAGTTTCTGTTCAGTTCTGTTCTTTGTCTCTAAGTAAATTATTCTCTACATTGTCAACGTAAAAAGATACTTTATGGCAATTAATGACCCCTGCCATTTGAATGTGTGTTTGAAGAATATGAAATATTTTGTGCCTATTACAAATACTTTAAATTTAGAATATAATATCTATAAAAATGAAGATCCCGAATAAAGACATACCTTAAAGAACAAGAATCCAAGCCAATATCTTAATTAAAAAACTTTACAATTAATATATAAATATACAACAATAAAAAAAATTGTACAATTATTAAAATACATGATCTACCCTATCCAATAATGCAAATAACGTTATATGAATGTTAAGTATTTCTAGTCAAAAATACCTAAAATAGAGACATACACCGTTCTAGAGTATGATCTCCCGGGCGGCTATAAAATATGGCAAGATGGCCGCTTTAAGGTCCGTTTACACGATTATTTGAGCATGGGTATATATAAAATATAATTAAAAATATGTTTACAAAACTTTATTTATCTTAAATATAAATATTAAAATATGTAAATGAAACACTTATTTTTTTCTTTATTATTTTTAAAAATTTAGTTTAAAATTATATGTACAGCTTGATGATAAGGGAATGATACTTTTGGATTAATTTCATTGTGTAAATTTATGTCATTTTTCTATCGATCTCAATTCTGAGAAAATACGATGCAGTTTTGAACGTGATTTTGAAATTCTTGCTCATTTCATCCATGAAATTGTCTATTTCATTTTAATTTGTTGCTGTTACTAATCCATCAACGACATAGAGATTTATGACAATTTTAATACCTCCCCGCTTCCTCACGAACAAACAAGGGTCAGATTCACTTTGTTTAAAACCAATTTGTAATACATATTGTATAATACAATGAATCCAACAGCGTGGCACCTGTTTTAACCCATTTAAGACTCTTTTTTAATTTACAGACCATGTTGTACTTACTAGTATAACCTCCGGGAAGCTTCATATAAATATCTTCTTTAAGTGTTCCGCAAATAAATGCGATTGAAACATCAAATTGGCCAATCTCCAAGTTTTCTTTTGCTGCGACGCTTAGTACAGCTCTAATAGTGCTTCCTTTAGCAACAGAGCTAAACGTTTCGTATAAGTCAACGCCTTATTTTTCTGAATAAATTTTAACGACTAACCTGGCTTTGTAGTGATCTATTTCACCTTCGGAGTTGACTTTTAACTTATATATCCATTTACAAGGTATTGCTTTTCGACCTTCAGGTAATGATACCATTTGTCTGGTTTCATTCTCCATTAAGGAATTGATTTCGCAATCCCACCCTATAGCCTCATGCCACTTGTCTTTATAAGAGCATGAAATTGCTTCTTTATACGTTTTGAGTTCCACCATTTCATCATTCAAAGACATATAGGCATATTCCTGAAAACGAATAGGACGTTTAAGATTTGCTCGATTTTGAAGTGTCATTTGAGATTCATTTTGAATTTCTTTTTCTAACAATTCATCTATGTTGTCCTTATTTTCTACTAGTACGCAAGGTTCCTGTTCATATGAATGAACTTGTTTCTTCCATTGCAGTAACTCTTTCATGAGATCCCTCAATCTCATCATTTGAAATGACTTCTTGAAGTATTTCATTATCATTTGGGAAAGTAGATAAGGCAGAAAAACCCATGCAATTTAAAATCATTACAGTTTGCTATATTTTTTACGTCATCGGTTAGAAGGTTATGTGATTTATCTATCAAAGGTATTTCTTTAAAAGTAACATCCCTGGAGCGAATAAGCTTATGATCTGCTTTATTCCAAATTCGATAACCATTGTCTCCTTCATAACCTAACAGTATTCCTTTTGAACTTTCTTGTCAAGTTTCATTCTATTTTGTTTAGTAATATGAACATAGCACTGACAACCTATAATTCTCAGATGTTTAATAGCTAGTTTTTTGCCATGCTACAATTCATGAGGAGACTTTCCTGCAATCTTTGTTGGCCTGTTCGATTTAAAATGTAAACAGTGGTATTTAAGATTTCAGCCCATAGCCTTTTTGGTATTTCTTCATGAGCATACATCATGGAACGTGAAGCCTCTACAATTGTCCTGTTATCCGTTTCGCATGCTCCATTTTATTCGGGAGTATATGGCATAGTTAATCTTTGAATAATGTCATTAATGCGTAAAATGTCTCGGACCTTCTGGTTATCAAATTCTCCCCTATTATCACAAATAATTTCTCTTATTTTATGCCCAGACGCCATTATTTCTGCTACCATATTATTAAGCATTGAGGCTACTTCTGACTTCTTTTTCGGAAAATAGATAAATTGATAACTGTTAAAGTCGTCTTTAAATAAAACAAAATATCTGTATTTCTGAAATGCATACGGGAAAAGCCCGCAAACATCGGTATGAAAAATTTCACCTACCTTTGGCCTTCCTTGCCTTTTTTTCTTGGTCTCGTTAAAAACTTTTGCGGTGGGTTTTACCATTTATGCATCATTCGCAAAGTTCTTTGTCCAGAGCCACTTTAATGCTAAGCTCTTCATCTATTACCTATCTTACATGTCGCTTATTTTGATGCGCCAACCTCTCATGATAAACTTGTAGTAAGTTGGAAGTTGTTATCTAATTAATATGTAGCAAAGTTGGCACACACTTTAAATTCAGCTTAAATAACCCTCCATGACTTTGCCTATTCCCATTTAGCACAACTTTACCATTTACTCTCAATGAATAGGTCTCAGCAGTTGATACGAAAAAATAATTCGGTGTGCGATCTTGTGCAGCAAGCACATAAAATAGATTTCTTATAATCGAGGATCGCAAGGTACATACCAAACATCCTTTAGTAAAATATTTTCTAGTTCACCTTTAACATAAGCTTCAGCACGTACAGTACCAATTCCAACAGCCTCGATATTTTGCCCATCGGCCCCTGTGACGGTGTGGGAAGTTTTAAAATATTCAAAATGTTCGAAAAATCCCCTCTATTGGTTATGTGACTGGTAGCACCATAATCCACATACCTATTTGTCGTATCTACTAGATTGTCCATCAATAAAACCGTTTGATTCTTTATATTCACGCTCAATTGTTTGGGTGGCCTTCCTTCTCTGATCTATTTCTTGCATTTCCTTACTCTATGTCCTTGTTCCCCACTGTAATTACATTGGAAAAAAAACTCCAATTCTTATCTTTTCCGCCAATTTATATTTCTGGTTTTGCGTACATATATAGCGCCTCAGCACAGTTTTCACCATCTACTCTGACAAACGTTAAATACGGTATTAACATCAATACCAATAAGACGAAGTACATGGTAATAAGCCGAACACCTGAGCTTATCACGTCTTTATCCCTAAATGGTCAGGGTTTTGTACGGATTCAAATCTCTAGGCACAATGGTTGACGAAACAGGAGATCACAGCCTCGAAATACGATGCAGAATAGAGCAGGCACGCAACGCCTTTTCGAGAATGAAAAAAGTTCTTTGTGACCGGAGCCTAAGTATTTTTCTTCAAACACGCATAGCGCGGTGCCATGTCTTTTAACAGAAAAGACATAGCACTTCTCTATGGTGTAGAAGCTTGGACGCTGACAGAAGCCATGTCTAAAAAACTGGAAGCGTTCGAGATGTGGGTGTACAGACGTATGCTAAGAATTTCTTGGAGAGACCGCGTACGAAATACCACCGTGCTACAAAGAATGGGGAAGGTCACAGAGATACTTACAACCATAAAGAGGATGAAATTGGAATATTTTGGGCACGTGATGCGTAACACCAAAAATATGAACTCCTTCAACTTATCATTCAGGGGAAAGTGGCAGGCAGAAGGAGGCCTGGCCGCAGAAAGATATCGTGGCTGAAGAACTTGCGCCAGTGGTTCAGGAAGAGCACAAGATCACTGTTTAGAGCAGCGGTCTCAAAAGTTGAAATCGCCCTAATCATTGCCAACCTTCGCAAGAGACGGCACCTTAAGAAGAAGAACTCTGACAAACAAAGCCGTCTCATTGAGATATAGCTGGCAAGTTAAATTTTCAATTGATCTATCCTTTTTTGCCATTAAGAGCCAAATGCTTTTGAGTCCAAAATATTGAGCTGGTAATGTGTCAAGAATTTTACAAATCAGTAAAATATCAGGAAGAATTTCTGCTGACTCGAAATTTTTGTTTGATTCGTGCCAAATATTCTTTAAAGTCGATATATGGGTAGTCGATAGATATTGTGATTGGTTTCCTTTTGGTATTTAAAGAAATCAAGATAGAGTTCGTAACTTTTGTCTTCTGTTTCTGCATTGTAAAGATGATTTATTTCATCCCACATCTCTTTCGAAGAAGTGAAACGCATGACTTGCTACAAAGTCTCTTCAGACATGTTCGTAGTAAATATTATTAGGATTATACTATCTACATTCACAAACTCTTTTATTTCATTCTCATATTTCTGAATCTCTTCAGTTGTAGCTGTGTCCGTTAGTATGGGCTTATAATGTTTACCTTCAATGATATCCATTGCTCCGGTTATAGCTCTAAGCACGATGAGAATTTTAAACTTCCACGTCTTCCAGTTCTTAGTATCCAAGTATCCTACCTGTATCTTTGACGCTTCGACTATTGATTTATCCATCTTCAACAGTTTCAAATAAGGTTCAGAATAATTTTTAGAAATTTTTGTTTTCGACCAAATTTATATCCTAGATTTAGAAATTTTGTACCACAAGTTTAATTGCTTTTTTTTCGCTCTGTTACGTTGTGTTAAGCTTTAAAACATATACAATTTTAAATAAACAATAACAGTTTTAAATAAACAATATAAGAAAAATGAATAGAAGTTTTATTTTTATAGTTTACAATAACGTGACAATCAACAAGAAATCATTGCTAAGATACATCATTTTTAATATTTCGTATATTTTCTCAACAATACCGACCCAGATACTGACGTAATTTCTACTCTGGAGTTTGGCGGTAACTAGGCCGTAGACGGATAGTCGCTCCTGTTTTGTCGTTTGAATAATGGTTTGAAGTGGATTTTGATTCGTAAAAGTGATCTGATTTAGTGAATTAAGAGTCCGCGCGTGTGAACTATTAGAGAAAACGACGAAACAAGTGCTTTGATGTCGATATAAAACTCAAGTTATTTTTAACTCTTGGTAACCTAGGTTGTGCTATCGTCAGAATCTCCCATCAACATCCCAAGGGCTTCACAATGTGACGCATTAGCATATTGTGAAGAAAAAGAACATAAAACGAAGATTCCAAAAGAAAGGATAGGCTCAGAAAGTCTAGAAACCAGAGCCGTAAAGCCAGTTAATAAAAAATAAAAAAGCAAGATACTCTATGCATATAACCACATATGACTGGTGTGTTGGCCTAAAGGTCTAGATACCAGGCCATCATAGAGGAAAGTAATATGCAGGCCATAAACACCAAAAAAAAAATGACTGGTGTGTGTGATGCTGATATGCTGATGTGAGTTTGAGGTTATACAAATTGTTATTGTATTAAAATTTGATTTTACATTTTACGTATTTATAATTCATTATAAATGGACTCGTCAGATGATAACTTTGTTTGGTCAGATGCTTCAAGCAACCACGATACTAAAATGTTAATATTGTTTGTTAAAATAACTTATTTACGCTGTAATTTATTTCTGTATTTTAAATAATTCAATATTTAATAATTACCATGTTAATTACAGGGATTTGAAAATAACGAAGGAAAACTATGATGATGAGTCGGAATCAGGATACAGTTACAAGAAAATAATTCAAAAAGAGTTGTTTAATTTTCGCCAAGAAAATACTGGACTGGAAATTAATGATTCAAAAAAATCTAAAAAAAGAAAGAATATGGACTTAGATAGCAGTTATAAAGGAGAACCTCACAGTAAGTACATAAAAACAGAACCAGAAAGTGACTTAGATATGCAACATAAAAAGAAAAAGCATAAAACTTCAGTTTCTAATAATACAGTACAAGATGAAGAGTTTCTGAATTTAAAGGTTAAAGAAGAACAATTATCTATTGAAGAACAATCACCTAAGCCAAAGTCAAAGAAAAAGAAAAAACATAAAGAGAGTATCCATGAAAGTCTAGATACTCATTGCGGCCAGTCAGAAACATTCACAAATTCTACTTCACAGTGTGAAAATAGTGAAAATATATCCAGTGCAAAAGAAGAACTGCAAGACACAGAAAGTAATAGAATAAAAAAAAAGAAAGCAAAAAAAAAGAAAGAAAAAATTGATTCGGAAGATATGATTGTTGAAGAAAAGTTTAGTGCAGAAGAAACCATAATAGAAGAAAGAGTGCCAAATGGTCATATTGCAGGAAATAATATAACAGACAGTCAGGATAAAGCGAAAGAGAATTATGATAATTTAAATAACACTAGCATATTATATGAAAGTAATGAACAAAGTTTAGTTGATGTAAATAAAGATGTTATCAGCAACATTGATACAAGCAAAAAAAGAAAAACGAAAAGCAGTTTGTTAGGAAATGTGACTTTTAATGACGAAACAATAATAAGCTCTAGTAGTATTAGCAATAAAGAGTCTCAAAGAACTTCAAAAATTTCTGACAGAATAAGATTTGAAGATGAAGACAGTATAGATGTACACAGCCTAGACCAGAGTAATAAAATGAGTAGCATAACACATTCGACACAGTTGCAAAGTTATATCAAAATGAATCCCTACTTAAAATATATTTCTCCAAATTTTCATAGTGATTTTATAATCTCACAAGATGATGAGGTTTGGGTTCTGAAGTGCCCGCATGAAATTGATATAAAAAATTTAAAGGATACCAGTATATTGTTAGACAATAAGTGCAAATTTAAAGTAGGCAATCAGACCTACGTGGGTTTGGTAGAAAACAGTAGTAATAGAATAGCTATTTTAACTGTGGACAAAAATGTACCTGTTATAAAAAACATACCTCTTAGTGGAACGGTTCATTTTCACAAAAGGATACCGAAGGCTCATTTTATTGAAGATAATATCATGGTGAACAATCAAACAAATTTCATACCTTTACCAGAGATTAAGTGCCGACATCCTCTTTTTGGTACAAATTATAAGCATGCCATAAAACTTCCAAAACACATCATTCAGCGTCTCAATCCTTCAGAGGTTGAACCAACACCAACTAGTAATGAAAAAAGAAAAAAAAAGATGAAAAAGAACAAAAAAGAAAACCTATCTGACAATGAACGAGAAAGTAAACCAGATCCAGAATCTTTGGAAGTACTTCATAAGAAAAGAAAGCGCAAACATTCAAAAGATGGTGAAACATCTCCAAAGTTAATAAAACGATTAAAACATGATCTAGACTCTGATGAAAACGGGGAATCTGAAAAGGCAATAGAAAAGCAACTTTTTAGCTTTTAATAACATATTAGTTGTTAAGATATACTTTGGTTATTTTTATAATATATACATATTTTAAACTGCTATATTTTATTTAGTTTTAAACATGAAATAACATTGTTCACATTACTGTATAATGCATTCTTATAGCTGTTGATTTATTTATTTATTTAAATGTACAGAATCTAGATACACAGAATTTCATGCATTGTTAAGTTTCTAGCCTAACCTCCACTTATACTTTAGAAATATATCTTTTAATTATTTATTCATTTGTTACATCCTATCAAAGTCCACCGCTGCATGCCCGCCTCCACTGGAGACGCCTTGCAGGTGGAATATTTGCCACCGTTGTTAAGCTTGGCAGTACATAGTTGTTTATTATTTTCCGTTTTATCAGGAAGATCCTGCTTCCCATCCCCTATTTTAATTTGCTTCTGTTGCCTTTTATGACACCTATGGTATGATACGAGGAAGAGAATTTTATTACGCTGGCGGCATTTTCCTGCTATGCACTCAAAATAATAAAAATTTACCGTTGACTTTTGATAGGTTGTAATTATGACGAAATACAAAAGTAAGTATAATTATGTAACATCACCAGCCTCTCCTAATTCAGTGCTGGATGTAGAGACATAGAGCTTTTCAAGAATGCATTAGCTAACATGGTTTGAAAACATGAAATATTAATCTGTACATATAGATAAAATTGAAGTGTCTGTCTGTAATACTGTAGTACTTGTATTGTAATGAGCTCAGGAAGTTATTTACGCCATCAAGATATGAATAATCATTTTTAAAATTTTTGTCTGTGGGCTAATCTTCAGAAAGGCTAAATCAATTGTATATTGTAACATAACTTCACGAACATAAATAGCTTTGTCAATGACCTAGGCTATATTTTATCCTAAAACTATGGACATTTAAAAAGAAGTGATAAATTAAATGGTTTTATTTATTTTAAATCTAAACAATCCTGCATTAATACATCCTACCAGGCAAGGCCTGAACAGGTTGCTAGTTTAGAATATAATGAAAACAATATTCAGCCCAGCTTGTTAAAAGTTGTTATATAATATTTACAATAAATAATATTATAAAAAAATTCAAATGTAAATAAGTCGATATTTTATATCAGAAGTTATAAAAAAGTTTAAACTTAAATATCAGAAACTCAAGCAGCATGCATGGCAACTGAACATGGCTTCTTGTAATGCAGAATTTTTTTTTATAATCATTGCTTGTTGGAGTTTGGCCGGGGCCTCAGTTATCCACAGGGTAACCGGGCTGGAACCTGGGACGCAAGATCCGAGGAGGCGCTGAGCTTGCCTTTGCAAGCACCACTTCTGTACAGAATAAAATTAGGTATAATATCCTCAATAAATAGTAGATTAAGTGCGGCAAGTATTTTACTTGTTGCTTTTTCTTTATTTTTGGTATAATACAAATAAATAAATAGATTGTAAAAATAAGGCTTTGAATTATTTGGTACCTTTCGTTCTTCTTTGACTGACTGGACGTGATTCAAAGATTTTAAACTGCTCAAGCTCTCTTTTCTACCTCTAATTTTAATGAGGTGTTCTACCAAGGCTGTCCAAGGGAACTTCTGTCAGCCATTTTCCATCTGTTCACAAGGAGAACGACTCAATGGCCCACGCCACAAAGAAGGAAGTCGATCTTTTAGGTTTTCGTTTTGAGTCCAACTCGACTGTCGACAGGGGGTACGAGCCGCCGGCGCCGACCTTGCAGCAGTGTGATTGCTCCATGCCGGATGTGCGGTTTACACAGCGTTCAGTGCGTAAAGCACTCCCCTCCCTGGACGTCAACAAGTCGAGTGGGCCAGATTTAGTCCTCCCTATTGTGTTGAAGACGGTTGCTCCGGAGTTAGCACTGGTTTTGAATTAATATAACGCGTCTTTTCCAGCACTTCTACTACCTATTCGTAATCCTGAACTTATGGAAGACAGCTTTGGTTCAATCACTAATCAGCTGGTTCTAATTCTGATCTTCTAATTTAGTTACTTTGGACATAGCGAAGGCCTTCGATGGACTTTGGCATAAAGCGCATCTTTAGAAGCTTGCTTCCGATGCAGATCAAGGTCTTAGTAGACGGCGTTTACTCCGATTTCGAGCCTATTAATGCTAGTGTTGATGTTTTTTTTACACTGGCCGTGCAAATATTCCTCGGGAATACGTCTTCGAGTATTGGAACAAAATGTCTGAAACCTAGTCTTTAATAGACAAAATCTTGGATTGACGACGGCTCTAGTCCAGTTTATGCTTTAGAATACACAGGTTTACTCGTTTACCGTTAAAAAGAACTTCTTTGTCGTATCTCCTTAACTTCTGGGCGCTCCCCTTGCTGCCTCAGCCAGCATCGAATTCCTTGGCATCATCACATCGAATCATGTTCAGTTCCGCTGTCACTTGGAAGGGAACTAAATTGGTTTGCAACAGTACATACAAGGCATAAGTTCACCCTCACATGGAGTACTGTTCTTCACTTAACCGCGTCCAGCGAAAAGTGGCTCAAACCGTCAACGACCGAGTTCTTTCTGATTGGCTCGACATACTGGCGCTGCGAAGAGATGTTGCATCCAATAGCATTTTCTATCGCATTTTCGGTATCCACGGGGAGTACTTATACAAATTGTTTGAATTTATTACAGCCGCCAAATTCCACCAACGCACTTCGGAATTTAACTCAGGCTACCATCCACACCAATTGGATGCTGGGCAGTACACCGTGACTGCGATTTACTAGGAGTTTTCATCCTCGCAACACTTCTTTGTGAAATCATCTATCATTGCCGATTTTTCCAGACCGACATGACTTAGAGAGCGTCAAGAAACCAGCTTTTTCCTTTTAAAAAGGCTGGCAACGCACCTGCAAGTTCTCTGGTATTGCACTTGTTGGTGGGTGATGGTCAACACTTACTATTAGGAAAATTTGATTTAATGTAGCAGAAACCACAGGGAGGATAGCGAGTAAAATATAAAAATCTCGTAAGTAAATTATATTCGTGGGCTGGCAGGCACAGACAGAACTGGCCAGTGGGAGGCGCATGTTTATAGTTATCCTGAGGCTGTCGGAACTCTAACTCAGGCACTGGGTTTGGCGATTGCAGTATCTACTACCCTGCAAATTAAATGGTGCCCCCAATGATATACTGATACGTAGTATTACTTACTCATGTCCTCGTAGTAGATGGATGCGAAACTTAACCACTAGAGAGCTCCACCACTGAAGGAGTCATTATTCTCACGTTAGTTACAGACTGGGCAATAATATCCCAACCTTTAACTAACGTGACTACAACCACATGTTTATTTTGTGGTGTTGTGGTGATTGGATTGTAGTTCACAGTTTATTAGTTTCATTGTAGTGTAGGTTAGTTGTTAGTATCTTTTATGGAAGCAAACGAGCATGCAGCTCATCTGATGGTAAGTAATTACCCCCGCCCCGCCCATGAACAACTGCAACACCAGGGCAATATCATCCAGGTGCGTAGCCGGCCTATTAGAAAGGAGTAAGCTCTCAAGTGAGTAGATAGTAGTACCGGTCCGGAAAAATTGCCGGTGGTAAACAATTTCACAAAGAGGTCGTACGAGGAAGAAAACTTCTAGTAAAACGCACTGTGATGGACCGCCAAGCATCGAGATGGTGTGGATGATGTGAGATTTGTCGCAACGCTATGTGTTCGTGAAATTTGGCGGCAGTAATTAATCTGAACAATTCCTCAGAGTACTCCCCGTGGTAAATGCGATAGAAAATGCAAAGGTATGCAACGTCCCTTTTCAGCACCACAGTGAATCGAGCCGATCAGAAAGAGCTCGGTCGTTGCCGATTCTAGCCGCCCTGCGCTGGATGTGGTCAAATGGAAGGGACTGACACTAGGGTGCCCTGGCCCAGAGGTGAGAACAGTATTCCTTGTGAGACCGAAACCGAAGCAAGGCGCAAGGCCTTGCTAAAGTTGCAAACGATGTGCCGCCGGCATAAAATATTGTCCTGTTCTGCTGAGCATGCCAAGCGTTTTGGTCAGGTTGGTAGATGTGTAGTGCAGTTAGTGTAACAAGTGGTAATATTAAAAATTTTGTACAACTAAAATTAATATAAATAAAATGAGAACATTATCAATGTAGTCGAATTCAATTACACATTAAGGATAACTCAAAAACTACTCGTGAGATCTTGATCATATTTATATGGAACCACATGAGTAGAACCAGCTTTCGAATAAAAAAGATTTCAAAATCGGCTCACCTAGGAAAAGTTCTGATGTAACCACACAAAAAAATTAAGTCGAATTGAGTACCTCCTGCTTTTTGAAGTCGGTTAAAATAGAGGATCTTGAAGATTATTGCACAGAAGGTTATCATTCTGATAAACTATTTAATTTCATATCATTAAAGTAAGTCCTATATTATTATATTGACGACCATGCAACCTAGTGGTCTGGGTCAATTGTCCCTGGGTCTGTCTCTCCAGCATCCTAATCTTCAGTTTTAATGTTTTATAGAACAGGGCGTATGTAACATTTATATACACCGCCATGTAACGCGGATGCCATGAGGTCCTTTTTACATTTCAGCTGCAGTCGAAATAGTGAAGGGATTCCATAAACCAAGGCTCATTAAGACTGATAGACAACGCCTCAGGCTTTATGCCCGCCTATAGTGTATACGTGAACGTTGTATTGCATGTATATAAACCGTTAGAATAAAATCCAATCCGAACAAAGGGTATAATATAGTAAAAGCTGAGCATATAATTGAATGCTATGCTACCGTTCACCAATATGGCTACTAATATACAAGCAATTCAAAAAGTAAATAATCCTTGCTGTTTACAGACCTTGTAGTTTTTAAAAAATAGACAATTTTATCATGTCATTTATGATTCTTTCATGTATAGATTTTTTACATTCCTTAGCCTTTTCTTTATAATCAAGTCAATGCATTTTTGTACACGTATCCATTAAAAAATGGGAGATTGTAAAAATGTAATTCGTACATTATCGTATCTCTCCTACCCGGTGTACAAATTAGAGCACTCGTTTGTGCCCCGGCCTGAAGTTTGCGTGTACGTCAGAGAGGACATCTGCTTTCGACACCTCGGCATCCTTTAAGGTACGAACCTGTCCATCCTCTGGCTGGGCGTAGACGGCGACGACCATCCCCGCGACTACGGGTGCCTCTATAGGTCCCATAGCGATAATGCCGACACAGACCGCGGGGAGTACTCTGAGTAATTCACCATCGCACATCACCACAAAACTCGCGATACCATCCATACCATCTGAATGACTCGCGGTTCCAGCACTGTTGGATTTAAAAGAAGTTTTCTTCCTCGCACAAATTCCTTGTGGAATCGACTACCACCAGAGATTTTTCCGAACCGATACGACTTATCCTTCACCTTCGACTATCCGGACCTTTAATAAAAGAGCCCACCCCTTATTAAAAGGCCGACAACGCATCTGCAGTTCCCCTGGTGTTGCAGTTGTCCATGGGCGGCGGTAGTCACTTACCATCAGCTGAGCCGCATGCTCGGTTGCCCCCTCTCCTATAATGAAACATGTTTACAAAATTTGTAATACGATGATACGGAAAAGTTGCTGATTGTTTTAAGTTAGTTAATATCATAAGGAAATTAATGGTAAAGTATTTTATCGAAATAACATCAATTAGTTAGTATATTATTCATTTTATAAAAAAAATTATAAAAGAAACAAAAATTATTTGTTATTGTATCTACGAGTATTAGCACATACACCTGAGTTATAGGTTTACCCTAGGTGCCTGTTAGTGTAGACTATTTAAAAAAACATTATTTGTACAAATTATTGAAATAAAAAAATATAATTATTAAAATGTAGTGTTAACCTACTTAGGTTTAAATAATAAGAAAAGTTGACGTTCAGATGGTAAATATTTATTATTTTCGTTTAATTATCATATTTTATCAAATAATGACTTTATAGTTTACATAATAGCAAGTGATATGTATCTGGAATACGCTAGTCGAGTAGAGAATTTAACATTAGTATTGGTCTTAAAGAGACGGATAATATCAGTGTCAGAGCTGAAAAGGTTATCTTATTTTTTTTTCGGATTTTTGTCATTCACAGTTTAATATCTAAAGTGAAAAGCATAAAGTACCTACTCAAATTTATATTTAAAAATTTAAATTAGCTTAGATATGAATATTGCTGTAACGGGAGCCGCGGGGTTTTTGGGCGATAGACTCGCCGATGCTCTACTGTCTGAAGATTCACCGTTAGATGTAGCGAGCCTCTTGCTGATAGACACGCGAGAGCCCCGCTCTCGTAGTGATTCACGCGTACGGACGCTCGCACTTGATCTGACAACGCGCGGAGCCGCGGAGATCCTGGTGACGCCCGATCGGCACGTCCTGTTCCACCTCGCCGCCGTAGTCAGCGGTCACGCCGAAGCGGACTTCGATCTCGGCTTCACCGTCAATTTCGATGTAACTCGCGCGTTGCTCGAGGCGGCGCGTAAATGCGCGCCCACGATGTGTTTCATCTTCGCAAGCACGGTAGGCGTCTTCGGCGGGGAGTTGCCGGCGGTGGTCAAAGACTCGACCGCGGTGACCCCGCAGAACACGTACGGCGTCGGGAAAGCGATGAGCGAGCTGCTGGTGAACGAGTACTCGCGTCGTGGCTTCGTGGACGGGCGGGCGGTGCGGCTGCCAACGGTAGTAGTGCGGGGCAGCGCGCCCAATCGTGCGGTGACATCGTTCGCGAGCGCCATCGTTCGCGAGCCCCTGCGAGGTGAGCACGCTGTGTGCCCGGTGGCGGCCACGCAGAGGCTGTGGGTGTGCAGCCCACGGGCCGCCGTGCGTAATCTCCTTCACGCAGCTTCACTGCCGGTCACCGTTCTGTCCGCTTGGCGAGTCTTCAATTTGCCAGGCTTGAGTGTAACCGTGCGCGACATGTTGACTGCGTTGCGCGACGTCGCGGGTGACGCGGTGGCGGAGCGCGTCACCTTTGCATACGACGCCACTGTGGCCCGCATCGTGGCCAGCTTCCCCCATGAATTCGACGTATCACGCGCTCTTCGTCTTGGCTTTGTTGCAGATCGTGATTTCGCCGAGATCATTCGGATATTCAATGAAGAAGAGTCCAGAGAGATAGATAAATAGATAGACCTTTCAAATTGAATTGATAATCGATTTTTTGTAAAACTCAGGGCGCCTGCGTATTTTATATGATATAAGATAGGATATTATGCAGAAAATAAACCATAGAAAAACGAAACTTTTTAATTTCTCTTTAAGCTTCTTTGAATTACTTATACCAAACCCATATTTTAATTGTATTTACTGTACACAGCATTTAATGGATATAACTGAATAAAACTATGAGTTTACCTCACTGACCTTTATATATACAAATTACTTATACTTGGTAGAGCTATGCTGCAGATATATTATGGTTGTAGCACGAATGGGTCGGCTCGACCGGGGAAGGACCACGCTCTCACAGAATACCAGTGTAAAATAGCAGCTTAATACTGCTGCGTTTCGTATGGTGAGTGTAGAGATCCGGAGACCCTTTTTTACCGGAAACGAGGCATTCCATCTTAGTCCTCATTGGTGACAACGCATCTGCATTTTGATTCTTTATCGAGGACAAATGTAAATGATTATGGGCCACAGCCTGTGAGTATTGAACCAACGCCACAGCATCCACTTACCATCAGTTGTGTGTGCTCGTTTATCACCCTTATTCCTAAAAAAATACCTTGGACAGTCATCTTTTAATTTCAATGCAATTTTAATTCCTCGTTTATATTAATGTAATTACTGATTACTGATTAGGTACTTAGGTAGATTAGGTTATTTATAAGTCTTTAAGGTAATAAATGATTGAGAAATGTGAAAAGTAAATGAATTGTGGCCGTGAAAGGAAAAGGGGAGATCTCCCGCCGGCCAAGGTGTTCTGCCCGGGGAGCTGCCAACACTGCGTGTTATAGTTCAGAGCTGTTCTATATATACTGTTTATGATTCAGAACTTTGATAGCTCGATTTAGGCATCGGTGTGTTTCGCTTGTGGCGCGACGACAGCGCCGCCACATCACCCCCTGCTGAGAATTGCCTTGTAGTCTGTGGTGAGTCGAGAAGAAGGCAAGTAATCTGCGAGAGTGCCGTGAAGCAGAGGCGAGCAGTAAGGCTCAGAGCCGTGCCAAACACTGTAGCGCAGAGTGCAGCTTGATGGAACAGGTAGCATTATTATTCCAGTGCTGCGATGAAGCTTGTGAAGCTAGCTGGCTTGCAGGATATGAAGACTGCAGACGATATCTGCTTGGGAGCGAATGGATGGGGTACTTTATGACAATGATAAAGCTTGAAGTTTCCGAAGGTTGTTGATTGCGTGTTCAGATTACGTCGGGGTCACCACTGTAGCCATGGAAGGGAAAGGGGAGAGCTCCCGCCGGGGAAGGTGTTCTGCCCGGGGAGCGGCCAACGCTCCGTTTGATAGTTCGGGGCTGTTCTATATATACTGTTTATGATTCAAAACTTTGATAAGAAAGAAAGAAAGAAAGAAAGAAAGAAAGAAAGAAAGAAAGAAAAGTTTATTCTCCAAAATGACGCCATCACAAATAACATAAAAAAAAACACATAATTTACAAATAATATTGGCTATACAATACAAATTACAATATACGTACTACATATTACAAACTATACAATACCTATACTAGTATGTGTCAAGGCGTCATCTGGGAACAGGAGCACACTCAGCATAATGCCATGAATTTTTTTTCCATGGCGCTGATTTTCAGTGTGTCCAACCAGTGACTTACCGAAATCAGTGCTATATGTATACTCATAGATAACGTGATTTAGGCTTCGGTGTGTTTCGCTTGTGGCGCAACCACAGCGTCGCCACAGAATTATTATTATTGTTTATTTTTTTGATGTAAATTGGGTAATAATATATAAATGGATAGAGCATGATAAAAATCAATAAAATAAATTAATTTCAATTATAACTAATATACACTACTTTTTTATATAAAAGGGGACAAACGTGCGGTAAAAGGATATGAGTAATAAGGGGAAAAGAAGGAGATCCCAGACCCATAATGAATAGGAATGAGCTTAATTATATGATAAAAATGAGTAGCTGGAGATCTACTATTTGGACTTATTTTCGAGAAACTGACGACAAAATTAAAAACATTTTATCAAGCTTTCTATTTGTTATAAATGGAAATAGATCTACAGTGCCTTAAAAACATAACGCTACATAAGTAACACATAAATAATATGTACTTTCAACAGTAAAATTATGAAAGACATGGCATTACTCAATTCGTACATTTCCATACAGTGGACACTTTGAGTACCACTTTAAAGAATGTTCGGTGATTTGGCCGAATATTCAGACGAATACGAATATTCGGTAAACAAGTTCCTCTACCGACAGAATCAATATTAGTACTACCATAGTAAAAACAGAAGTTCTGTTTTTACTATGGTACTATGTAGTACGTACGCTAGCCCCAAAAAGGGCGAAGAGATGAACACTATAAAGTTATAGGTAGATTTTCTAGTATATATACTTACTATTATTAATGGATTCTAATAATCCGAAATATGTAAAAATGTTTTATTCTTATTATCAAATTCATAGGCGGAACAAAACGTAATTGAAGGTCAAGCGGAGGTGATAACTGTCAGAAATAAATGGGTTGCTTCTTTCAAGTTTCAAGGAGTCGGTGTTTATTTCAAAACAGTATTCAAGTTTAAGCAAGATATAGTTTTTCTTTTATCTCTAATACATCATTTAAGTCTAAGTCTAATGGTTCAGTGCGCAAACATTAATTAACTTGTAAGTAATTATTACAGTTTTATTATTATATAAAATGGAATTTATTTATATTTTTCGTTAAATAATGCTATATATATAAAGCTAAGAGTAACTGTGGGTGGATATTCTAATTATATTAGTTTCTCAAAATACCATTAAATAATATTTACTGTTTTATTATTATTTAAAAGTAATTTTAAAAACGGTGGCTAGCTACCAGTTTATATAATATAGTAAGTAGTAGTAAATTATATAGTAATATATATCTATAACATAAATTTAATTAAATTTATAACAATATAATATTATATTGTGATTAGCACGCATGGTTAACATTTTTATGCATTTTCTGGTATGTGATGCAATAAATTTCACTATGAATTTTCTCTGGACCTGTGAAAGCAAATATTTGCGTTCACGGCTCTTAACTTTTTATGATGTAAATATAAAATTTATTAATAACACGTACACAGAGCTATCTATCAGGTCCAGATTTGTGATTTTATTTTTTGGCACCAAACAAACCTCGTTTTCAAGTTTAGAGGTATACAAGTTGTCCAACCATTGCATTTTGCCAGTGATGACTTATGTGTCTGTGACATGGGCCTTCACTGCTTGACATATGAGGAAGCTTAAGGTCACTCACCAAGCTATGGAGAGGGCTATGCTCGGGGTTTCTCCGCATGATTAACTTTGAAATGAGGATATCCGCAGTAGAACCAAAGTGACAGACAGAGCTCAACAGTTAGTAAGCTGAAGTGGTAATAGGCCGATATTAGAATAGGGGAAAAACGTTTCTTGAGTGGCAGCCTCATAGCGAATAGGCGAAGTATAGTGTGACCCCCATTAGATGCTGTGACAACCTCGTAATACACTCAGGAAGTCGATGGTGCAGGTGGCTCAGAACAGTGTTTTGAGGTATTCCTAGGGGGAGGCCTATATTCAGCAGTCGACTTGTGCAGGGCTGTCATGATGATGAATAATGACTGAACCAACATCATATTATATTGTGATATAAACTATAATTAAATTTAACTGTAAATGTGGAATATTTTTTCAACTTTACTACAGCTCCACTTGTATCCTTGCATAGCTATGAACAGTCAACAATCAAACAAATATAATAATATATTATTGATCCCTTGATATCTTCATTTACACATTTATATTTTTAAAAATACTTGACAGAATGAGATCATATCTCCCACATGACCTTCTTCAGTCAAGTAGTTTAGAAGTTGCACAATCACTTCCAAATAATTAAATTAAAATATATTTATTGATATACCTTAGTTAAAAATAAAAATCTGTAAACAAAAATATCAAGGGATATATATTATATTTACAATTACAATATGTAATAATACAAATATTAGAGAAAGAGAGAGAGAGTGAGGAATACAGTCAGATGGAATTTTTTTCTTATTATCTTTACTTTCTAGTATATAGATGATAGGGCTTCTTTTGTGCCTGGGAGTCTGTCTGGGAGCTGTTTTGGAAATTAAATCAAATGAATGATTTTTCACTGTACCTTACTTTCTAAAGGTGTGTAACGCTTTTCTATGTATGGTTTGACAGTGCTGTAGTGTTGTTGTACTAATGGTAGATGTACAGCTAGTTCACTTAATGATTTCTTACCTTTAAGCAAATGCTACATATTGAATAAAACAAGTTTTTCTGATTTAATCGCATTTATTTTAAAATTTTTTGATGAGCCGTGGTAGCTCAGATGGTTAGTGCTCGCTGTAAATTTCACAGTATGTAAGCAAACCGGGTTCGATCCCTGCCGGCACCAATGAAATTGTTAATTGCAATTTTAAGTGCTGATTAACCACGTGCTCGGTGGTGAAGGAAAACATTGTGAGGAAACTAGCATGTCAGAGAAATAAGAAAAAAAAATTTCGAAGACATGTGAAGTTCGCCAACATGCATTGGGCCAGTGCGGCGGACAATTCCTTGCCCTAAAACCCTCTCAGAAATGAGCGGAGGCCTGAGCCCAGCAGTGGGACGTATATAGGCTGTAACTTTACTTTTAATTTACTTTTATTTTAAAATTTTTAATTCCTGACAATTTTAATATGAGGGTAACATACAATACAATATACTATATATATTTAGGTAGGCCCATTTTCAATAGTGAACTTGTGATGATAGTGACATTTTTACCTAATTACATTTTTATTTTGGTAATTACAAACATGGATGTCTTGTATTCTTTTGGACTCCTAACTCAGATTTCAGATCGCCCACCAGCTGCCAAGCGTAGGATTAAGGCCAATCCTTGTAATGAGAGAGCCAATAAATAAATGGCAATAAAGAAGATGATAGAAACATTTGTGCAGTATATATAATGCAGAGGTTTAATTTTTTGATGCTTCACTATTTACGTTCTACCTGATTTCACCTCTACTCTCTCCAACCTCCCTGCCTCCCACCCTTAAATTAATTGCAGGTATTGTACACATCCCTTCCAAAATATTAATTATGTGTTTAACAAATGGAATTTTTCAATCTGTAAGTCAATAGAATTAATTGAACTTATAGATAACTTGTTTCAAAGGTCTGTTTGACCCAATTTTGGGTGTATACAATTCGGTTAGCCTTGCTTAATATAACTTAATTATAATAAATAAGTATTTAGATGTGTGTGTGTTTAATTTAATGATAATTTTTGTACAGATTTCAGTTTTCTATTAGCAAAAGTGGAAGAGAGAACTATGATATGGTTTAAAGTAATAAATTGGGCATAATAGTACATTACATATTCAGAAACAATATCCATATTTTGTTAAATCTACTTACATCTGAAAAATGCATGGAATGATTAGAACCTTAATGAAAATAGTTGTGGTAATGTAGATGGATGAGGAAGACAAACTTTATCTATACTAATATTATAAAGCTGCAGTGTTTGTTTGTTTGTTTGAACGCGCTAATCTCTGGAACTACTGGTCCGATTTGAATGATTCTTTCAGTGTTGGGTAGTCCATTTATCGAGGAAGGCTATAGGCTGTATGTATTTTTTTTCCAAAATTAGGGATCCGTAATAAAATTGCTATTTTGTAACACAAGGTGTAAAATCGAAAACCTATTTTTGCGTGCGCTGCAAAAACTATTGACAATAAAACAAAATGATGTACTACGGGTTTGTAGATCCCATTAAGACCTACAAAAAAGTCTGCGAGAACATATATCTAGCTATCATGGTTTAATCACAATAACCGATTTTGTGTTCAAAATAATTGTTAAATCGTCTGAAGAAAAAGAAACTGCGTTAAATATGTATCGTAATATTAATCTTTATCGAAATTAAGCATTATGTTATCAAGAGTATTTATGTAGAAGTAAAATACTTTTTGTTTCATCTTAATCGGATATTTCGTTTAAAAGTTATCACGTGTGTAAGATGTTAAGAGTTGGTACCTATTAATGAGTTATGGGCCATAGAGTTTTTTATCAACATAAAATCCTGTAATAATCTTTTTCTAAATATATTTGTTGATGATTGGAAGTATAAGATCTTTGAAGAGTATAATAAATACATTTCTAAAATAACTCTGCTAAGGAAATCCACGCGCGCTTGATGCAAGCAAGACGAGACGCTGGCGGCGCGGCGGTGGGCGAGACGAGGAGGCCGCGCTTGCTGGCCGCCTATCGCTCCCCCCCTCCCCCCCGTTTTGGTTTACAAGGTACCATGCCGCGCGGCTCAGACGCGGGGTCGGCTCCCTACGGAACGGTTGAATGCAGCGTTGCGTTTTTTGAAGTCATTTACGATAATTCCTTTGACATAATATATTTCATACGACTTTTAATAATTACTCACCTTACGTTTCTTTTACCTGATTACTACATTTCAGTTTATTTTAATTAAGTTTTAATTTTATACAGTTTCTCTTTTACCTCTACTATAATGCCTAGAAAAAGAACTCGGCTTTCTAGGCAGACTGCTACTGCAAAGCGATTGCGACTTCTACGCAGCAATGAAACACCCGAAGAAAATCTGCACAGGTTGGCTACTCAACGAGCGATCATTGAACAAAACCGTGTTAGGGAATCGAGTGTTGAACGTTCGCAGCGGTTAGTCTCACAAAATATCCGTACTTCGGCGAATCGACAACGGGAATCAAGTGCTGAATGTTCTCAACATTTAGCCGCACAAAATTCCCGAACTTCGGCAAATCGCGAGCGGGAATCAAGCGCTGAACGTTCTCAACGTTTAGCTACACAGAATTCCCGCACTTTGGTAAACCGGCAACGGGAATCAAGCGCTGAACGTTCTCAACGTTTAGCTACACAGAATTCCCGCACTTCGGCAAACCGGGAACGGGAATCAAGTGCTGAACGTTCCCATCGATTAGCACAGCAAAATGCACGAACAGCAAGGAACAGAACTCGCAGGCAATACAATTTATTGAATTCAGCATTTGCTTATGATTATACCCTTGACTATGCTGAGCTAAATCGTACTAATATTTGAAGAATGAATAAAATATGTAATTCATGTCAAGCAAAAAAATGGCCGGCTGAAGCTCCTGGACTGTGTTATAGTGGTGGCAAAGTAAATATTCCTAAAATTCCAGCACTAACATCAATTCTTAAAGATGTAATATCAGGCTCACATCCATCTTCTAAGCATTTCTTAAATCACTCTAGACAATATAATACTCTGTTTCAGATGACTTCATTTGGTGCCAAAGAAATTTGTGAAGGAAACTTTATGCCCACTTTTAAAGTCCAGGGGCAAGTTTACCATCTGATCGATAATTTACTTCCATCTGAAGGCGCACAACCCGAATTTTTGCAAATATATTTTATTTCCCATACAGATCAGGTATCTTTACGCTCAAATTTAAACCCAACGTTAAAAACCGATCTTATCGACGCTCTCCAAACATATATTCACGATCACAATACTTATATTCAAAGTTTTAAATATAATCTCGAAAACAGATCAACGAATGATTTTAAACTTATCATTCATGCTGATGTGAAACCTCCTAATGAACATCTAGACCGATCCTGATGACATCGTAACTTTCGTCGCGCGTGATCTCAAGAAGCTGCCTCCCGTGACGTTCGATCACGTAGACGTGACCAGATTGTTGAAAGACATCACTACGTTGAAAGCCGAAGTCACCGACCTCCGTTTCAAATTTGAAGAATCGGAACGAGCCGCAACAGAGCTGAAGAACGAAGTCACTAAGTTGCGCAACATAATTGCAACATCTGCGAATTCACCGCCGTCACAGAATGTAAATACGACACGCGGTAATCGTAATAGTAGTCATATTTCACCGATGATTGCGACTCCGTCACGCTATACCGTCTGTCAGTGGGTTGATGACCGTGAAACTAGGGTGACCTCGGTCGTCATTGCATCACCACCTCAGCCCTTGACTGAACCCTTGAGTACTCCTCCGCCGAAGCCAACCTGTCAACAAGAAAAGATGTTTGCGGATGTTGCTCGAAAATCTTCACAACCGTTACCCTCATGTGGTCGAAAACAAAAGAATGTGGATGTAAAATCAGTCCCTGTGGTGACCGAAACCAAGAGAAAGAATGACGGGTTTACTCTTGTTGAGAAGAGACGTCGGTAGAGACCCGTCTGTAACCAGCGTGGGATCGCCAAAATAAACGCAAACTCTGCGTATTGTGGAGCCCACCATACAGCTCTACATCTCCCGTTTGAACAAAAGTACGTCGGGAGAAGACGTCCTGCGTTTCGTGGAAGAACGAAGCCGATGCCGCATAAAGGATCCGATCTCTTTACATTTGCAGCGTCTGTAGTCTAAGAGGTCAACGAACTTCAAATCCTACGTACTCCAGGTTCCTGCAAAATACAAAGAGACATTCCTTGCTCCCGATTTCTGGCCCTCTGGGGTATTGTTTCGCCGATACAGGGACGCGCCATAGAAGAAAGTTCCCTAAATAGTGTTATATTTATATTTTATATATATTTTTAGGTTAAGGTATATATTGCTATGGGCTAATGTTCTTAATTTTTAAGTCCTTGATGCCTGAAATAAAGTTAATGTATTGTATAATCCAAGCATTAATTTCTTCATTCAGCGTTTTATGTATTATGTACGTACCAGTTCTATAGTAGGCAGTCTTAATTGATCGAAGTCACAGCATTTATGACATCAAGCTAAAGCTAATAGTGTTCCTTTTTATTATCATTCCTTATGTAACACTTGGTTTGAACTTTGAATTATTTTGTTGTCCATTTTACTGTCTGTCCATCAAGAATTGTAAAAAGATATATACTTTTTTTTATTTGTAATATCGTTATGTCATCATCTACATCGCGGTGTCAAGATTTTTCGTGAGTTTTCCTAATGAGGCACTGAATATAAATCTATGCAATATTATAATTTGTGACAATTATTATAGTTGTGATATCAATATCAATATTTTGTGCTTAGTTTTCTTGTCCTCTCTCCTTGACCATTTCATTACATATACAGAATTAGTTGTTTGGATTTATTAAGGCTATATCAATATTTTTATTAATTGTATTATTGTAGTATAGTATTATTAATAGTATTAGCGGTTTGGTTGTTGAATATAATTTAAAAAATGTCCCGAAAAAAGAAAAGTAGTCTTTTTCAATACACTATAAGTGCCAAAAAGATGAGACAAATTCGGTCGCAAGAGACAAATGAGGACCGTGAAAACCGTTTAGCTTACAATAGAAAACAAACTGCGGAATCTCAGACATCAGAGTCCAGTTTTCATAATGAAGTGCGCTTAAATACAGATCGCGAAAGCCACGCGATGTCTCGCGCTTCGGAAACTTTAACAAATTACTCACAGCGTTTAAAAGTAGACTGTAAACGTCATGTCGAGTCTCGCGTTTCAGAGACGTTCACCCACAATTTCAACCGCTTGACAGCAAATCGGAAACATCATGCAGAGTCTCGCGCTTCGGAGACGTTTTCGGATTATTCAGATCGCTTGACTGCAGACCGAGAGCGTCATTCTGAGTCACGCTCTTCGGAAACGTTTCCGCAGTATTCAGAACGCTTGACTGCAGACCGTGAACGTCATGCTGTTTCTCGCGCTTCCGAACCATTAACAGAGTACTTAGAACTGTTGACTGCAGATCGGGAACGTCATGCGAGATCACGTGCTTCGGTATCATTTAGTCAATATGAAGCGACGTTAGCAGCAGATAGACGGCTAGTAGATCACTTGAAACGCAGCAGGAGCGTGACTTACGGTTAGAATTAGCAAGGAGGTGTTATGAAAATTTGCATCAAAACCGTAACGAATATTTGTCTTTACAAATGGAAAGAGTTCAAGCTATTGGGAGAAATAAGACAGAAGATGAACGCGCAAATCGGTTAGAAGCTGATCGTATTCGTACTCTTGTAAATCGTTCACCCTCCGTAACTCCGCCGTTAAGTAGGGACAGAGTGAACTACATTGATCTCCTTTCGGTTGATAAAAAAAATAGTGGTTTTGCCTACACTCCCAATATAAACTATAGTGAATATGCCGAAATCGCAAGAATATTTCGCACTTGTAGTCGTTGTCAAGCACTTAAGTGGCTCTAAAGAATCAAACGGGTTTTGCTGTTCAGCTGGCAAAGTACAATTGGAAATATTTCAAGAGCCTCCAGAACCTCTTAAATCACTACTTAATGGTGGCCATCCTCATTCCAAGCAATTTTTAGATAACATCCGTTCATACAACGGGGCATTCCAGATGACTTCAAACTAGTGGTACACGGAATATTTATGCCTACTTTTAAAAATCAGGGGCAAGTTTATCACTATCCAAATTTAAACGCCAATGTTATCTCCGAGCTCCAGGGTATGCTGCATCGGATCAATCCCTATATATCCAGTTTCAAAGCCGTATTAGAGTCAATCGCTCAAGATCAAAATAATAATTATAAATTTATTATTAGCGCGGATAAGCCACCTTCAGAGCAACATTCCGGCCGTTATAACTCTCCATACACCAACGAAGTGGCGGTTGTCCTGGTGGATCAGCAATGCGACAAGCGCGACATTATAGTACGTACGCGTGATGATCGCCTGCAACGAATTAGTGAGACTCATCGTTCTTACGACTCCTTGCAATACACACTTATTTACTGTCGTGAAGATGGTTATAATTTTACGCTTTATCAAGTTGAACTCACTACAGGAGCACCTTGGTTAGACAGGAAAGTTTCGGCTCTGCAATTTTATTGTTATCTCATGCAAATAAGACAACGTCAACAATACTTAATCGAATTTCGCTGTTTGTTTCTCTATGTCTCTGTATGTCGGGAAATAGTAGGAGCAGAAGGCACCGAAATAATTCGGGATCTGAAAATAAAATTGCATATTAATATCACCTTTCTGACTCTTTGTTTTGTATTTATTAAGTTTTATTTATTTATTTATTTTTATTTATTTAACTTCATATACACATTAGATGTATATAGGCGGACTTAATGCCTGAGGCATTATCTACCAGTCTACCTTAGAGTAGTGCAGAGATAAAAGAGCAATTAATATTCACATATATATATACTGATACATATATAAGCGTATATATATATACATTATATATACATACATACATACATACACACACACATATATGTATTTTAAATATAATATTAAACACGGCTACGAACGCTAAGATGATTCTGCCATTTTATTGACGAGCAGTTCACGCACTTTAGACTTGAACGAAATCCGGTTTTCGGCACTTCTGATTTCGGAAGGAAGACCGTTCCAAAGAAGAACAGATTGAACAAAAAACGATGATTGTACAAAGTTAGTACTAAAAAGGGGGCACTGAAGCGAAAGGTTATTACTAGAACGGAGAACTCTATCATAGTTGGAGCTAAGATATTGAAAATGAGGAGTCAAATAAGATGGAGGATTAGGAGACATCAAGATAGAGTAAAGAGTAGTGAGTACACGTAGACTACGGCGCTGACGAATTGGTAACCAGTTAAGTTGAGAGCGATAAATGGGCACATGATCATACTTTCGAAGATTAAAAATGAATCGAATGCAGTTATTAAGAAGACGGTCATATTTGTTCAAGAGTTCTGCATTCAGGTCAAAATAACACACATCACCATAGTCAAAAATGAAAAAATTAAGGTCTGCACAATAATCGTCTTGGTCCTGGACGGGAGAAAGTTCTTCAGGTGGTAGAGAGAACGCAAAATACTTGTCACTTTTTGACCAACATTTGCCACTTGAGTTTGCCAGCTCAAGGTGGAGTCAATGTACAATCCAAGGTCTTTCACGGTATTACTCAGTTCTAAAATAAAACCGTTAAAAATGATCGGCGGTAAAGCTGTGAGATCCAGTTTCTTTATCATCCGTTGGCTATCTATTATCATAGCCTGACATTTGGATGGGTTAACGTTAAGGACAAACTTGCCAGACCAGTTCTTTATATTGTGGCCGTAGAAGGAAAAGGGGAGATCTCCCGCCGGGCAAGGTGTTCTGCCCGGGGAGCGGCCGACACTCCGAGTGATAGTTCGGAGAAGTTCTATATATACTGTCTATGATTCGGAATGTTAATAGCGCGATTTAAGCTTCGGTGTGTTTCGGTGTGCTAGTGGCGCGACGACAGCGCCGCTACATCACCCCCTGCTCAGACCGGAGGTCGATAGTGCAGCCTCGTTGCTGACGAATGTGCAAGTGCCAGGAGATTGCCTTGTAGTCTGCGGTGAGTCGAGAAGAAGGCAAGTAATCTGCAAGAGTGCCGTGGAGCAGAGGCGAGCAGTAAGGCTCAGAGCCGTGCCGAACACTGTATAGCGCAGAGAGTAGCTTGAAGGAACAGGAAGCATTATTATTCCAGTGCTGCGATGAACCTTGTGAAGCTAGCTGGCTTGCAGGATATGAAGACTGCAGTTTATATCTGCTCGGGAGCGAATGGGTGGGGTATTCTATGACGATAATGAAGCTTGAAGTTTCCGAAGGTAGTTGGTTGCGTGTTCATATCACGTCGGGTGGTCACCATTGTGGCCGTGAAAGAAAAAGGGGAGATCTCCCGCCGGGCAATTTGTTATGCCCGGGGAGCGGCCAACACTCTATGTGATAGTTCGGATGAAGTTTTATATATACTGTCTATGATTCGGAATGTTAATAGCGCGATTTAGGCTTCGGTGTGTTTCGGTGTGCTACTGGCGCGACGACAGCGCCGCTACAATATACTCTAGGTCCCTATTAAAAGACTCAATTGCTGTAGATATACAGTCGACCTTCGCGTGTGAGTACAACTGCAAGTCATCAGCATACAAATGATACGCACACTGAAGATTTGGGGTAATAAGATTTATAAATATTGAAAATAACAACGGAGATAGAACACCGTCTTGAGGAACACCAGCATGCAAGTCACACCAACTTGATGATGAGGACTCGTCAATGCGAACTGACTGCTGGCGGCCTCGAATATAAGATGAGAACCACTCCAAAGCCTCAGATGAGATCATAGAAAGTGAAATGATTGATAACAGGATGTCGTGACTGATGGTATTAAAGGCATTAGAGAAGTCAACCAAAACCAGTACTGTGATTTTAGTTTCCTTCATGCCTGCCCTAACGTCACCTGTGACTTTAAGGAGCGCGGAAACAGTGCTATGACGAGGCCTGAAACCAGACTAATGAGCTTAACAGGTTATTCGAGAAGATAAAATGTGATAGCTGTTTGTGTACACAAGCCTCTAGCACCTTTGATAAAAAGGGAAGAATGGATATAGGTCGGAAGTGATTAGGTAAAGAAGGATTAGAAATTTTTGGCAGAGGTATAATGTAAGCTTTACGCCGCAGCGACGGTGAAGTTTTAGTGTTTTGCCAGTCATTATTTACATTCATAAACCAGAAATGAATCAGTGTATCAGGGTAGTGTGAGCATTGCGTTTTCTTAAAACGTGCATAATATCATAAAATGGCTAACCCGCGCCCGTCAAGTCATTCCTTATTCAAAATTCAAAATTTGATATATTTTAGCTGTTTTCACGAAGTTGGTTTAGTACAGGTAGGCTAAAATTAATCTGCCTGATTATAATAAACATATCATTATATATACTCGATTTGTAATATATATAGATACAAAAGATTTGGAGAAAAGATTACACGCGAACGAAATCGCGGGCACTATCGGAGTTTTACATATAAGTTTATTTATTACATATAAGTTTATTTGTTAACAGTTTTAGTTTGAACTGATCAGTCGGAATGATTAGTTGAACTGACCGTGTGTGGCGTCCATTACGATCTCAAATGAATCCGAATCGACAATACCCAAATATAAACGCAAACTGATGCGTAGAAATCCACTATTTCAGTTTCTCTCTTTCTAACCAAATATGACATAGCGGAATGGAAAGGATGGCGTGAATTTTAGGATATAGATTCCGGTTTGTCGGCTATGGAAACCTATTACAAATTGAAACATGTGATGAATATCATCCTTATTTCTAGGAAATTAAAGTATATATTTGGTTTGCGAGATTATGCATTGACGAATTTTTGGTTCCATGTTTGGGTGTTTGCTTACTAAAATCTTTGAATTATGTTTGTTCTTGTTTATTAAGTTATAAAAAAACTATATTTGCGAGATTGTGTGATGATTTATTTTTGATTTTAGTTTAGTGTTTGCTTACTAGAAATAATCGTTTATTTTCGTTAAGGTGCAAGACGTTGTTGACATCATTGAATTACAGAATATTTACTGATGTTTATTGCCCGTTAGTTTAGGAGTTTAAAGTAAAGATAATAAAAATTTGTTAACAAAGTGAAATAAGTGTATAATATATAAGTGAGTAAGCTTATGTAACATATAAATATTTTTTATTTTGACTTTCAAGTAAAAAACTAACACTACAATTATAAAAATATATTAAGAAATCATTGTAAATATGCCGATTTATAATGCAGCGGATAAGTTTTATTTTCATGTTAAACTTTTCTGCTAGATTAAAGCATGAATTTATACGTAGTAGAGCCTTACTGCAATTATATTAGTAGGTAATAGCGCTCGTAGCGATCGTAAAACTATTTCGTGCTGCAAATATAATGAAAATGCGTTGCCGGTCCGGGTCCAGGCGTGGAATTATTTATATTTATAATATATGAGGAAGTTAATTGTGTTTTATACGTGGTAGGGCCACGCTGCAGCTATTATGGTTGTAGTATGAATGGGTCGGCTTGACCGGGGCAGGACCATGCTCTCACAGAATACCAGCGTTAAATATACTT